TGTTATTGGGTATGTTAAACCTGTAATGAAATGCTTCTTCTAAAAAAGAAAAAAAAAAGCATTTTTTAAAAGTGAGGCTAGAGAGATGACACAATTGGTAACGCGGTTGCTGCTTCTGGATCTGTTGGACTGACAGTAAAAAGCCAGGCAGACACAATCTCAGCACTGGAGGTGCAGAGACAGGAGGATCCCTGGGGCCTGCTGACCACTCATAGTAGACAAATTGCTGAGCTGCAGGTGCCAGTGAGAGCCCCTGTCTCAAAAAACAAGGTGGACAGTGCCTGGTGAGGAGTGATACCTGAGGTTGTCCTCTGACCTACACACATGTGCACACATGTGTACTTACACACACACACACACACACACACACACACAAATAAAACAAAAATTTTAAAGTTGAGTGATATTATGAAGGAAAGTGCTCACTTTGTAGTCCATCCCCCAGCCCTGGAGCCTCTTCTGAGTTGGACCTGCGCACATTGCTAAGGTACCCTATGGTTCATGGTGAACATTCTCTTGTCTCTAGGACTACCATAGCACCAAGTATCAGAGGAGCTGGTTTAATCTTCTCAGTATTAAATCTGTCCCTTTGGAACTTCTAAACCAGTGCCTTTTGACCCTCACACCAGGATCCTGATATGCTTAGAACATATGCTCCAGACTGAATTTCCATTCCCCAATAAGAATCTACAGGAAGATCTGGGGCATTGGTTGTCCAGACAACACCTCACCCCTATGTCCTTTTGACACTGACGACCAATCTATAGAGAAATTTCTATTTAACCCACTTCCTGAAGATCTTCCTCAACTTCCTGTCCTTCCTGGGGAACACTGAGTCTCCTGGCCTCTCCCTGGCTTAGGAGGAAGTGGGGTGAGTTGATGTAGCTGAGGATAAGGGCTGGGTTGGTGCGGTAGGAGGGAAGGATCACCCCTCTGTCAAGCACTGGGCCCTACAGCTGCAAACATCAAGCACTAGTTTATTCTAGAAGCCTTCTCCTTAAACTTCCTCCAAGAGCTTAGCCACACTCCTCCAAAGTGAAGAAGGAATGGAGGAGCCTCATTTTCTAAGCATTATTTTCCAAGTGTGCTTCCATCTCTCCACAACCTATTAGGGCTCTGTCTCACTGCCTGCAGCCAGGGAAATTAATTACTTCCAGGCTGTGCCTCACTCCCTAGAGCTCTTAAGCCCTCTTCCATTGATTGAGCACTTATGGCATTGTGCTAATTGCGGGCTGTAGTTCTCTTCCCCAGGTGTTCTTTGTTCCTGAGTCCCTGCTGGTGTTTTCCTTAGCTCTGCGTCACCCAGGTGGGCCCTCAGGTACAGCTCCAATTAGGGTTCCAGGTGGGTGGTCTGCAGGTGACCCTGTTCCCCTGGGATGTGCTTCTTTGTGAGACCTGTGTCTGTGTAGGTGGCTGTGGCTGAAGCTGGACCTTAGGGTGATGCTTCTCTTCGACACATTTTCTAGAATTATGTTACTACCAGCAAATCTGTGCGGATCTACTGAGAGAAGTCGTTGCTTCTGAAAGACACTGCCATTCAACCTTGAAGTCGTCACGGCGCAGATGCATGTCACTCACACACACACACACTCCTATCAGGATTTTACAGTGTGATGCTGCAGCTGAATATTTTCTGTGTGTGGTTTCTGTGCATGTGTGTGCAAGTTCATATGTGTGCAGGGTGTGTGCATGTGCGTGTAAGAGCCACGGGACAACCTCTGCTGTAGTTCTGTGAATGTTGTCGTCCCCCTCTTCTTATTGAGACAAGGCCTATCACTGGCTTGGAGATTGACAAGAAGGCTAAGCTGGCTGACCAGCAAGCTTTAGGGGTCTACCTACCTCAGTCTCCCCTATACTGGGATTCCAAGCACATGCCACCATACCTGCCTTTGTTGTTACTGTTTTTAATGTGGTTCTGTGGATCAAAGCCAGGTCTTTGTGTTTGCAAGATAAGCACTTTGCTGAGTTATCTCCCCAGCTCAAAGCTGAATATATTTTTAAAGGAGGATTTCTGAACTCGATAGAAGAAACTGTGCATAGCCTTGGACACCTCACAGCATCTTGCGATGCTGCCTTTTGCATTAATTCATCCAAACACTCTGACTTTCTAATGCTGGGACTATGGGGATTTTCTCAGAAAGTTTAAAGGCATTTTTTTTTTTCTGATTGCTTGAGCCCAGACTTTCAGAAGAGCTCCTGACTGCCCTCTGGGTCTCCCTATTGCCAAGTGATCCTCTCTCAGTCACAGAAGGCTTCCTAAAACCCGGATTTCTCATTTCTTTTCCTTGATAGACAGCCCCCCTCTTGCTGTGGTGTTCAGGGGTCTCCTCTGCAAAGCCTTCCTTTTTCTGTTCCAGCCACTCTTAGTCATTTCTCCCTCTGAAGAAGATGCCCACCCAAGCTGGCTTCTGCTCTTCCCTCTGCCCACAGTGCTGTCTCTACCACCTTGGTTAAATCTCACGTTGAGTGCCAGGTGTAGCTCAGGGGATAAGACCAACACCTAGCTCCACCATTTATTTGCTGTGTGACCATGTGCAAGGCACTTGACCCTTCTGAATCTTAGTATGCTCATCTTCAAAAGTGAAGACTCAAACAGCAGATGCCTGAAAACAAAATTCCCAGACAATAATTCTCAGCCTCCAGTTCAACCCTTTGAGCCATGTTCTCTTCCTGCTTATAGGTAAGAACATGCTGTGAATTACTATAGCTGTGAGTTATGCTTATCATCATCCCACTACACTGGGAGGTCTAGGCTCCGTGTCTTAGTCCTAGCCCCATGCTTCTCATAAGCAGCTATACCATGAATATTGAATGAGGGGTTTGACCTATGACCTCAAGCAGGCTTTCAGGAAAAAAAAAAAAAGGACTGCAATGCCACTGTAGAAATAATCCTAGTCAGGCTGGAGAGATGGCTCAGCAGTTAACAGCACTGGCTGCTCTTGCAAGGACCCAGTTTTGGTTCTTAGCACCTACATGGTGGCTAACAACCATTTAGAACTCCACATCTGGGGATCTGATGCCCTCTTCTGGCCTCCATAGGCATTGCACTCACATGGTGCACATACATACCTGCAGGCAAAATGCTCATACACATAAAATAAAAATCAGTCAAAAGAAATAACCCTATTCCATGTTGTTTTGAGGATTAAATGCACTGATTTGGGTGAATGACTCTGAGCCCTTGGTTCAGAACCTGCCCAGGTAAACCAATGAGTTCAGTGCCTTTGTTTCTTCTTTTTTTCCATTCTCTCTCCCTCTCTCTGTTTGCTATACCTGTGTGCCTGTACCTATGTATATACTTATTCTCGGATGTGTGTGGGTGCATGTGCACGTTTGTGCATATATGTGGAGGCCCAGGGTTGATGTTGAAGAATCATCCTTGATTGCTCTTCCTCCCTAGTCTTTGAGGCAAGGTCTCTCAATCAAACCCAGAGCTTGCTGATATGGCTAGTCTCATTAGCCAGCCTGCTCTGGGATCCTGTTTCTACCACTGAGGCTGGAATTAAGGGTCTTCCACACCCACACTGCATTTATGTGAGTTCTGGGGGTGTGAGCTCTGGTCCTCATGCTTGTGCAGCAAGTGCTCTAACCCTCAGCATCTCCCCAGTCCTCAGTGCTTTTTAAAATCTTAGGAACTATGGCTCGACTGTCCCTTAACCCCCAGTCACAATGTGACTTTCAGGAGTCCTAGCCACTTTTGTTTTCATGAACTCATTTTTCCAATAATAATAATAATAATAATAATAAATAATAGAGTGAATTCTATTTTGACTACACTAATATAAAGATGAATGTAATCCAGGATGAATTCAGCTTTACATAATTTTACATTCAATTTCTTTGGATTTTAAGAGAAAGAAAAAAAGGGGGGAGTAGGAGACATGAAGTTAGAAGAGGATGGGGATCCAGGAGGAGTGGAGGGTGGGTATGGTTGTATTCATGTACGAAATTCCTAGTGCTGTGAGTCTCCCTGTGTTTGATTCACGACCCTCTCCCATCCGACCATATAACCTCCACCGATGTTTTCACTGTCTGTGGGATCTGTGACTGGCGAATGCAGATGCTCCTGACTGCTGAACCTTTACCTCCCAGCTGCAGTAGATGATTGCTGAAATCCTTTCACCTCACCAGCGCAATATTTCCTTTTTATTATTTTTATTTTTTCTTGTAGCCCTGACTGGCCTTGACCTCATGGCAATCTTCCTGTCTCAGCCTCCCAGAGTGCTGAGAATCACAGGGGCTGTAATTCTCATGTAATTGCATCATGCCTGGCTTGAATCTTCACTTTAAATATAAATAAATAGATATCATATTATATTATTATATATATATTATTTTTGTTTTAGGGGTATGAGTGCCTGCAGGTAAGTGCACCTGAGTCGTGCAAGACCGTGGAGGTCAGAAGAGGGCGTCTGGCCCCCTGGAACAGGAGTTACGGACAGTCGTTAGCTGCATGAGGGTGCTGGGAACCAAACCCGGGTCCTCTGCAATAGCTGCCAGTGCTCGTCACTGCTGAGCCATCTCTCCAGCCCCCTGCATCTTCACTTTAAAAACTAATTTTCACTGGACCCCAGCGATATGGTTCAGCAGTGGGTAAAGGTGCTTGAGCCTTACCTGCCTGAGTTCAAGTCCCCTGACCGGCAAGGTGGAAGAAGAGAAGAGATTCCTGAAATTTGCCTTCCGATCTCCTCACCTGTGCTGTGGCACGTCCCTCCCCCCAGAAATAGAAGGTAATATAAAAAGTTAAAAAGTGCTTTTCACAATCGCTCATTTCAAAACGTCCCATATGCTCTTCTCTGGAGGAAGCCCAAGCACCTAGGAGAAAACCCCACTGTGTGGTCAGCATCTTAAACCCTCCCATCCCCACCTTCAGGCCTAACGCCTCCTGGACACGCCCCGCATCAGGCCCCGTCCTTCCGGGGGTCAGGCACCGCCCCACCCCGCCCTCGTCCCCGCCTCCTGCCGTGGGCCCCGCCCCTCACTCCGCCCAGACCTAGAGCTGTAATGCGCATGTCTATCCGGAGGATTTGCTTCCTGAGGTCTCCCGCTGGTAGCAAAGTAGCTCCTGGGCCAATGCCGCGACCCTGTGACCTCCGGGAGCCTGTCAGGTAAAGCCTTCCTGGCCCAGGTACCCGAGCCCGGCCGAGCCGGACCTCGATCGCTGCGCGGGCCCCTCCTGTCCGTCGTGCAGCCCAGGCTGTCCCAGGCTCGCGTCCTGGGCTTCAGCCAACCGTTCACAGACATGCAGGCTTGTCCTAGTCCCAAGGGCACCTAGCCGCTCTCTTCCCAGCCTGTGTCCCTCTCCTGTTGCTGCGTCCCCACAACTGACCTCAGCACCATCCAGGCCAGGTTCGAGTTCCCGGGTGGTTACTTCCACTCTTGATTGATTGATTGATATTTTATGTATGAGTGCATTGCCTACATGTATGTAAATCCACCTATGTCACAATGCCCACGAAGGTCAGAAGAGGGCTTCGTATCCCTTGGAACTGGAGGACAGTTGTTAGTCATCATGTGGGTGCTGGGAACTGAGACCCGGTCCTCTGCAAGAGCAGCCAGTGCTCTTAACTGCACAGCTATCTATCTAGACCAGGGTTCTTGCACAGTCACTTACTCTAAGCCTGAGCACACCTGACCCTGTTCTTAACCTGCTGCGTTAAGAGAAACGCTGCCAAATGAGGCCAGCCCCGCCCAGAACTGTTAACTCCGGATTTTAAGGGTCTCAAGGCAGTGTTTCCTAGACATTTACTTCTGCTGTTCCTCTGGTTGGCTCAGTTACCTTTTCCCAACAGGGGCCTGTGGGCCTCAGATGCAGTGTACACTCCTGCCAGCATTTGGTGAGTTTTGTAATCCACTGACTTTACCCACCACCCTGCCACATGGAAAAAGGAAAACACACACACACACACACACACACACACACACACACACAAAGAACAAACACCTCCTTCCAGTGGCTTTATCCAACATCGTTCCTCCAGTTAACAGAGCCAACCCTTGTTTGGACTGGCACTTAATCGTTATCAATACCCTCAAGCAAGTTGCACAAGAGGATTACAAGGCTCTAAGAAATCTTGCCTACTGGGATTAAAGATGTGAGCGACCACCCCTGGGTCCCATCCACTTTTGAAACCAGTTCTGGCTGCCTTAAGCATCTGCTTCTGCACAACCATCCTACGCAATAATGAAAATCAATGTCTATTTTCTAGGGCCACCATAACAAAGTCTCACAAACTGGGTGGCTTCATTGATAGAAATTTGTCCTCTCCTGAGTCTGAAGGTCAGAAATCTAAATCAGGGCATCTGCAGAACATTCTTAGAAGTCTCTGGGGACACTTTTGCCTTTTCCAGCTTCTGGTGGCTTTCAGTTCTTTGGCATGTGACAGCATCCCTCTGGTCCCTGCCTCTACCTCCTTGTATCTCTCCCAAGCCTCTGCCCTTCCTACAAGGATACCTGTCATTGGATTGTGAATTCCCTCTAAATCCTGGGTGATCTCATTTCAAGTCCCTTAACTGGTTACATCTGCAAAAATGTTATTTCTAGATAAAGTCACATTCCTAGGTTCTAGGTTAACATGCAACCCATTACACAAACTAGCAGCAAAATACACTTGTTTAAAAGACCCAGAAAAAGCCTCGTGAAAACTGCTCCATTTTGGATGATGAATCTAAATATCTGCGTATTGTCCATAATGGTTCTCAAAGCACATCCTTCCCAGCTGCCACAGCTGCAACATCATCACTTGGGAGTTGGAGCAAATGTTCACTATCGGGCCTCACTTCAAAGCCTCACTTCAAATCATGGTCAGGAAGAAGCCCAGCAGTCTGTTATAAGCAGCCTTCTAGCATATTCTGTGGCCACTGAGTTAGGGAACCACTGTGACATATGGCCTCCATGTGAAGCAAATGTTCTACTACGGGGCTGTATGTAGCCCAAGTCCTCTTTTCACTTCATATTTTGAAACTGGGTCTAAGTTGCCAAGACTGGCCTTGAACTCACTCTGTAGTCCGGGTATGCCTTGAACTTGGGATACTCCTGCCTCAACCTCCCATAGCTTGGATTACAAGGAAGCCTGGTTTAAGTATGGATTGCAGAATTCAACTATTATGTTATTGGTATGAAACATTTTACTATACTTTTGGTTTGATTTGGTTTATTGAGATAGGGGCTATGTAGCCCAGCTTGCCTTGAACTCACTGTGTTGTTGAAGAAAATCTTGAACTCTTAAACCTTTGCCTCTCACGTGCTGGGATTATAGACATATAGAACCATGCCTGGCTCATACTTGAATTTTAAATTTGAGTTTCAAAGGGAACTTGTATATTCAACTGTGTACTTAGTGTTTCTGCCTCATTCAGTCTTGCCAACGTCATGCAGTTTAAGTGCTGTGATTTCTGTCAGGTTATTGAAAGATACACTGAGACTCAGAAATTATGAACTCCAAGATATACAGGAAAGCAGATGGATGGTCAGGCCTAGGAGCTTTCTGCTATGACTTTGTTCCTGAAAATGTTTGGTTTGTCTCCTTAGAAACAATCTGGTAGATGATGCGAAGGCCCGCTTGAAGAAGTTCGAGAAAGTTGTTGGGACCAGATATTCTCACTTGTCTCCTTACAAATACTCTGTCCTCTTGCCATTGTTGGTCAGAAGAGGAAAACTCCACCTGCTGTTCACCGTCCGCTCAGACAAGGTAGGTAGATGTTAGGCTATTGTGACATCTCAGGACATTTCAAAACAGACATTTTTGTCACTTTGCCCTTGTGTTAAGCCTGCCATCCTCAATTGAACTTTTTAAAATTTTATTATTTTTATTTTATGTGTATGCGTGTATTGCCTGCATGTAGGTAAGTGCACCTGTGTCATGCAATGCTGGCGGAGGACAGAAGAGGTGGTCGGATCTCCAGGAACTGGAGTTACAGACAGTTGTTAGCTGCCATGTGGGTGCTGGGATTCGAATCCAGGTCTTCTGCAAGAACAACCAGTGTTCTTAACCACTGAGCCATCTCTCCAGTCCCCTCAAATGAACTTCTGAAATCACGGTGTTGGAAGGGTATTGAGAAGGCACAGAATGGCATGAAGATTTTTGCTTGGTGGTTTTGAGACAGGTTCTCGCTCAGTAGACCAGGTTTGCCCCAAACTCATGGAAACTCATGGAACTCTTCTTGTCTCTGTCTCCTTAGTGCTGGAATTATAGATATGTGTCATCGTGATTAATGTAACTTAGTAATTTGTATGTGAGCACGTGTGCATGTATGTGCGTGTGGTGTGCATATATGTGTGCAAGTGTGCACATGCATGAGGAAGCCAGAGGAGAACATTCTCCTGGAACACTCTGCCTCATTCATTCCCTTGAGACAAGGGAGGAATGAATGAAGGAAAAACAGCTCCGTTCAGTTTGGTGACTGGGGGTACACTGACTTGTGGGGCTCTGGGATTGTTACTATGGTCTGGGCAACAGTGATACAAACCCATGCAGAGATCAAAATCCAGGTCTCCAAGGGAAACGCTTAGTTGGAACCAGGAAACTGGGGTCTTTTCCCAGATCTGCTCCTAAGCACAGCTGAAGTACATAAAACCTTTTTTTTTTTTCTTTTTTAATTATCAAAAAAACAATAAAGTCTAGGTTAGACCAAAGCCTTAGGCAAACAGGACCCTGATCTCTTGTTACAGAAACAGCTTTGCCTGATGTTTATAAAGGTCATTTTTAGAATAAAAAGTGATTAAATCTCCTTCGGTCTGTAAGCCCTACCTGACTATAGGGGATAAGAAAGAATGAGGTCTTCAACCAGTCCTGAAACTGGTACTGGAGACCGAGCCCAGGGCCTCTTACATGCTAAGCAGGAGCCCTACCAGTGAGCTCCATCTCTAGCCCCTCTCCCTTAAAAAAATTTTTTTTTGTGAAGAGACAAGGTCTCATTTAGTTGCCTAAGTTAACTTTGAACTCATTCTATAGCCCTAGTGAGTCTTGAACTTGTGATCCTCCTGCCTCAGCTTCCCAAGCAATTAGAATGGCAGGTCTTTACCTCCAAGCTGGTTCTGAAACTAGCTAGCATCCTCCCTCCCTCCCTCCCTGCCCCACTTCCTCCCCATCTCTGAACACCTTGTAGACAGCTCTGAAAACAGATCTTCTCTACTCACCTAAGTCCTCTGAGTTTTATGAAGGCCTCTCTCTCTTTCTTTCTTTCTTTCTTTTCTTTCTTTCTTTCCTTCTTTCTTCCCTCATTCCTTCCCTCCCTCCCCCCTCCCTCCTTTCTTTCTTTCTTTCTTTCTTTCTTTCATTCTTTCTTTTTTCCTCTCCCCTCCCTTCCTTCCCTCCCCCTCCCTCCCTCCATCCCCCCTTCCTTTTTTCTTCCTTTCCTTCTTCCTTTCCTTTTCCTCTCTCTTTCTTTTCCTTCCTTCATTCCGTCATTTATTCTCTTTCCCTCTTTTGCTCTTTTCTTGGACTAAAATTCATTTATTTTTTAAATTGGTATGTGTGATGTGGGGGGGGCACATGCGTGCCACAGCACGTGTGTGGTGGTCAGAAGACATCTTTGTGGAGTCAGTTCTCTCCTTCCTCCTTTACATGGGTTCCAGGGATCGAACTTGAGTCTTCAGGCTTGCACTGCAAGCCGTTTACCAGCCGAACCATACCACTGGCCCCAAAGCAAAGTTTTTAATGTCTTAGTGCCTCAATTTTATTATCCTTGAAACAACTTTCATCCCTGGGACTGAAAGCTGCCCTGTGTACAGTATGCAAAGAGAACCATGGAGCTGGTCCAAGTGCTGGCAAGTGTCCTTGCTGCTGGTGTTGGCTGTCCCATGTCTGCCTTTCCTCCTTACTGTCGTTAAGGACTTCTTTCAGAGACCCAGAGCACTGGTGCCTTTCAGCTTGGACTTCAAGGTTTTCAGTCTGGAGTTCAAGGAGGACATGGAGGCAGATGGTTCTTTTGGATAAGATACTTGTTATTAACACCATGGGCAGACAGGCAGAATGATATAGCAGCATGGAGGGGGATCTGAGGAGAGTTCAGGTCCATGATGTAGAATGGGGACTCCTGTCAGAGGAAGGGGAGTTTCAGTGTTATCAGGCTGCCTCAGAGTCCACAGGGGAGATGGAAGAGGAGGGGTTTGGGGTCTTGCATTGCCAGGGAGGAATGTGCGACTTGAGGGTGTGGGGGAAGTGAGGAGGGGCACATCCAGTTGAGGTTAAGGTGTAGCCCTCATATGGGTAGGGGGAGTGTCTCCATGGTAGCCCACTGATGTCACAGGAGTCTGGCTACCTGAGCCTCTAGGTTTCTTTGGGGAAGTGAGGGGGCATCTGCTATTTTCCTGGACTTCGGACACCTGGGGAGTCTGTTGTGAGGTTAGAGATTCACAGACAGACTCTGTAATAGGACTTGCCATTTCATCTACAGAAGAAAGAGGCTGCTGCAAGTTTGAGTGACTTGAGCAGGTCTGGATTCCAGCACTGACAAGTCCTTCCTCCATTGCATCAAGTGGCGCAGACCATGGAACTTTGAAAGCCACTTGCAGTATGGCCTTAGGGAGTCACCTGCTGTGCACCACCCTATCCCCTCTAACCCCTGCCCCAGGTCCCTTCTTTCCTTTCTACCCTGGGCCCACTGCCCTCCTCTCTCCTCCCCTCTGGGGCTTTAAATAGGCAAGAGGAAAGAAGCAAAATACAAAACATAGATTGAAGTCTCCGGAAATTATGCTGTGACCTTAGTTGACCCTAGTTGATTTTGTATATTAAATTTTTAGGGCTAGAGAGATAGCTCAGTCAGTAAAATGCTTGTCTTGCAAGCATGAGAAATTTAGTTCAATCCTCAGAATCTATGTAAAAAAGCCAAGGGAGGTAGCGTATGTTTATAATCTCAGTCCTGAAGAGGCAGAGACAGGCAGAGCCCGGGGGCTCACCTCCCAGCCAACCTAGCCTACTTGGTGAGCTTCAGGCCAGTAAGAGAATACTGTCTTCAAAAACCAGGTGAGTGGTACCTGAGGAACAATACTCAAGGCTGACCTCTGGCCTTCATATGCAGATGTGCACCCACACAAATGTACATGTACACCCATAAACACATACACACAACTTATACTATTTACAGGAAAAAAAAAAAAGATTGTGAGTTTTTATACCTAGATGGAGCCCTTTCTGATCCTGTCAGTTTATGAAGAGTTAGTTTTAAAATGCACTTGCTTTCTTTAACACAGCAATAAAATTCTCATGAATTCAAAAGGTCCTTGTTTCCTATTAATTGAGGTACAAGGCCACTTGAATTGAATCGATATGCTCTGAGGTCTTTTTGAAAAGCTTTCAAAACATTTTAAATCAAGTTCGTATTTCTGTCAAACCTGATGAGTCCTTTTGCGTGATCCTGTCACCAGCTATGGAGGAGTCGAATGTGCAAACAATAAGCCTATTTTAGAGGCAGTGTAACTCGAGGTCTATTTTTTGTGCATATTATGAAGCATGCTGTGGTAGGTGGAAAACGTCCCAGCCATCCTTTCCCCATTCTTGTAACTGTCATCGATGGTAAGATGTAGCTGCTGAAGCAGATTCTGCAGAATTCCTGATTTATAGCAGGTACGAACTTCAAAATGTTTTATGTTTTGAAAAGGCTTGCCCAGGGCTGGGGCTATAGGTCAGTGGAAGAGACTTCCCTAGTGTGCAAAAAGTCCTGGGCTCAATCTTCAGTACCAGAAAATTTAAAAAAAAAGAAAAAAAGCTTGCCTAAATGGGCCTTCAACTATAGGAAGCTAAAATGTCTCTAATCACCTTGCCTTTAATCTTAAATTGTTGTAATAATAGCACACTTTACACTGGGAGCTTATGGACAACAGAGACTTATTTCTCACTGTTCCGAAGGCTGGGAAATTCAATATCAAGGCACTTGCAGATTGAGCAACTAGCTCAGACTTCCTTTCTAATTCATAGATGACTATTTTTCCCTGTGTGCTCACATGGTGGAAGAGTTGGGGGGGTCTCTGTGAGCCTCCTCTAATTTCACTGCCCAAGAGCCCCATCTCAAACGTCCTCATGTTGGAGTTTAAGGATTTCTGCAAAGGAATTTAAGCAGCAAACAGCTATTCAGACCAGAGCAGCCATCTATCTTTTAATGTCAACAGGACCTCCTGGTCGAGCTCCACACATCAAGAGCTGACCTTAGGCGTTCTCACAGTGGATATCACCTACTAGCCAGGCACGGTTCCTCATGCTTTGGCCTCAGTTCCTGGAAACACCCTGTCCTAGTTTGTTTCTCCACTGCTGTGACAAAACACTCTGACCACTACCAACTTGGGGAGGAAAGGGTTTATTTTATCTTACATCTCCCGGGTCACAGTTCCTCCCACATCACTCATCAAGAAGATGCCCTTCAGACATGGCCACAGGCCAGTCCAATGAAGGCAATTCCCCAACTGAGGCTCCCTCAACCCAGGTGTGTCAAGTTGACACTAAAGTTATCCAGCACACACCTAAGGTTCCAGCAGATGCACGTTGCCGTGATCTTTGCACACAGCTGGCAAGAGTCCTGCCGAGTCAGTTTTCCTCAGCAGATCAGTGGACCGTTGGATGCTGCCCAGGCAGAGGTACAAGAGAAACTGGGGTCAGTTGGCTGAGAAGTTTGGCTCTGCAGAAGAGAGAAGCCTGAGGGACTGTGCCTCTCAGAGACACGAAAGGGAAAAGTATCTATGATGCTGCACACTGTTCTAAAAGTCAGGAAAGATGGGAATCAGGAATGGGGGTGGAAGGAACTATGCAGGGAGAGAGGGTTCTGCTCTTTATGTTTGTGGGCAAAAACACATGGAGCTGCTGACGCAGGCCAAGGGTGATGGCTCTGTGGCCATATTTTCTGTGTTTTTTTTTATTTTTTATTTTAGTGGGGTGGGGCATGTGTGTGCCATGGTGCACATGTGGAAGTCAGAGGACAGCTTTTAGGACTCAGTTCTGTTCATCACCTCATTTCTGAGGCAGGGTCTCTTGTTTCTGCTCCAAGCGCTCCGGACTATCTGGCCATAGGACTGCTGGCATTACAGATGTGACCCACTACATGCAGCTTTTTACATGGGTTCTGGGGATCAAACTCAGTTTGTTAGCCTTGAATGGCAAGCACTTGTACGTGCTGAACTATCTCCATGGCCTTTGAAAACTCAGTAAATAGTGTGCTGATTAAAACACAGCCTCTAGAATTAAACCCTGGTCTATAGTCCAGTTCATTGTGTGAATTTTGTCTGGTAATTTAACCTCTTTGAGTCTTAGTTCTCCTCTCTGAAAAATAGAAATAATAGTAATATAATATCGTCTGTATGCCCATCTGTGAAGGGCTATGAGACAGCTTGTAATCCATATAAAAACAGCAACACTCTTCAGTCAAAGGGGCAAAGGACTGATGCACAACAGGACATGAAAGAACCTCACAAACAATGGTGAGAGACACCAAACATCGTGTCCTGTGATTCCATTTACATGGGACACCCAAACTGGAAACCCATAGAGACAGAAAGCAGGCCCTGGGGAGGAGAGAGGGAATGCTCAGTGGGGTGGTGAAAACATCCTGAAACCAGATATTCCGAATGGTTGTACCGCATTGTGAGTGTGTTAAATGCCCCTGAGGTGTTCACTTTATGTTGGCTAATTTTATACTATTTGAAATTCACTTCATTAAAAAATGTTTTTAAAAATAATAGCTTTTAGGGCTGGGGATGCAGCTCAGTTGGCAGAGTGCCTGCCTAGTGCATCGGGTGCTTTTTCGGTTGCACCATAATGAAACGTGACCTATGGAGGAGAGTTTATTTTAGCTTGCCATCCCAGTGAAAGAATCCATAACAGTGAGAACACATGGACAGGCAGCTGGAGCAGGAGGCTGGGACCTCACAGCTTCAACCACAAACGTGAAGTAGAGAGAGTGAACTGGAAGTGGGGTGCGGCTGTGAACTCTCAAAGCTGCTCCCAGTGGTGGTCTTCCTCCAGCAAAGCATCACATCCTAAAAGTTTCATAACCTCCCCAAACAGCCCCACCAACTGAGGACCAAGTGATCAAATACATTAGCCTACGAGGGACATTTTTCATTCAAACTACCAAACATCACATGCGTACCACCCTGGGTTTGGTCCCTAACACTTACCTAAAACATGGCATGGTGGTGTGCACTTGTAATCCCAGCAATTTAGGAGACTGAGGCAGGAGGATCAGAAGTTCAAAGTCATCCTCAGCTACATAGGAATTTCGAGGCCAACCTGCTGAGACCCTGTCTCAACACATTCCACACTGAACAAAAAACTGTAATATTTGATAGAAAAATCCTTATGAAACAGTATGCCTTGGATATGGTAAAAGGACTTAATGAAATCACCCATTGATAGTAATGCCTTTATAGCGTCCTTTCTTTTAACTTTTTCTTGTCATTGGTGGCTGTTTATATATTTATGCTGTCATTTGGGCACGTGTAGAGAAAAATTAGAAGTGAGGTGAGCTCTCAAGGTGTTTTGTTTGTTTAACATTGTGTGTGTGTCTGTGTGTGCGTGTATGTGTGTGTGCATGTGCCATGGTATGTATATGGAGGTCAAAGAACAATTTGCAGGAGTCAGTTCTCTCCTTCCACCATGTGGGTTTTGAGGATTGAACTCAGGGTCTCTGACTTGGCAGCAGGTGACCATACTCACTGAGCCATCTTTCCAGCCCCGTGTTTTGTTTTTTAAGGATTCAAGGAAGAATATACTTTAGTCAAAATAGACATTGAGTCAATATTTGTTGAATGACTGAGTGGCTTCCAAACTGAACTCACACAGAGCTCTGTTCTTTTGATCCCTAGCTGAGAAGGGGCCCTGGAGACGTCTGCTTCCCTGGAGGAAAGAGGGACCCAGTAGACACAGATGACACTGCCACTGCTCTGAGGGAAGCTCACGAGGAAGTGGGACTGCATCCCCACCAAGTGGAGGTCATCTCTCACCTGGTGCCATATCAGATTGAAGTAAGGACTGTACTGTCATAGGCTCTCCTGTGCTCCCAGGGGATTCCACGTCTGTCCAAACCTAATCTCAAAGAGTACTGTCCACAGAACCAGGAGAACTGGATCCTTGTGTGGACTTATTTGTTCATGTGTGTCTGTGTGTCTGTGCCCGTATGTCTTTGTGTGTCTGTCTGTGTATGGGTTTGTGCACACATGCACAGGTACCTGTGGAGGCCAGAAAAGGGTTTCAAATCCCCTGGAACTGGAGATAGGCTGCTGTGAGCTGCCCAGTTTGGGTGTTAGAAATCAAACTCAGGTCCTCTACAAGAATAGCAAGCACTCTTCATCTCTGAGCCATCTCTCCAGCTCCTGGGTTCCTCAAGATTAAACTGAAGTCAGAGTTTGAGGGAGAAAGACCAAGATCACCACCAGACAAGCTGCCTAAAATCTTGCAGTATTTGCCAACATGTTGCTGTGTGAATCAGAGCTTCCTTAATAGCATAAACCACGTGGTATTAAAACCAAATGACTCCCAGATCTGGTGTAGGCAGGTCTAATTTGCTATTAACCACAGCCACCGATCTCTCCAGCTCCTGGGTTCCTCAAGATTAAACTGAAGTCAGAGTTTGAGGAAGAAAGACCAAGATCACCACCAGATAAGCTGCCTAAAATCTTGCAGTATTTGCCAACATGTTGCTGTGTTCCTTAATAGCATAAACCATGTGGTATTAAAACCAAATGACTCCCAGATCTGGTGTAGACAGGTCTAATTTGCTATTAACCACAGCCACCACATCTCTGTACTGATAGACTTTACTCATGGCTGTAGATTTTAACTTGGACAATAGCATTATTTTATTAGTGTATCATAATTCTTTAACTTTTGGTTTAAGATAGTGATGGAGGGGCCAAAGAGATGGCTTGGCAGTTAAGAGCACTTGCTGTTCTTCCAGAGGACCCAAATTTGCATTCCAGCACCCATACTGGGTGACTCACAACCACCTGTAACTCCAGCTGCAGGGGATTTGATACACTCTTCTGGCCTCTGCAGGCACCTGCACACACATGCATATTCATACATACATACACATAAAAATTTTTTAAATCTTTATACATAGAATTGTGAAAGGTTTATAGCCCTCTCCTCTCATGTCCCCACACCAAGTATCTCCTGTGATTGTATCTTTGTGATACGTTGGTCTCAACTAGGAAACCAGGATTATTATCAACTAAAACCCACATTTGCTTTGTGCTTTACCAGGTTTTCTGCTGTCTTCCTTTCTGCCCTTGCCCTTGCCCCACATAACACTGTATGTGGTTGTCACGTTACTCAGTCCCTGTGACAGTTTCACCCACTTCATCTGTTATCCTGACCATGGCTATTCAAGGTACTTCGTTTAGGCATTTTGTTCAATGCCATTCATTTGAGTTTCTCTGGTGTTTTTCTCATGGTTATACTGGAGTCATGGCTTGGAGGAGGAAGACCAGAGACTGGAGTGCCCTCCCCACATAATTACGGAGATAAATACAGATGTTTTAATGCTTTATAATTGGGCTTTCCAGCTAAGAGTACGTATGCATGTGTGTGCACGCATGTGTAAATAAGAGAGAGGCAGACAGACAGATACAGGGAGACACAGAGAGATGTTAGAGACAAAGAGTCATGGAGACCACAGTGATGGAAAGACAGTCAAACAGACACAGACAGACACACAGACACAGATAGGGAGAAGAGCATCAGAGAGAAGTATGCGATCAGACTACAGTTAGACAGCTGTTTCCTCTTTGGCTGTTTTCTAAGGGGAACGCTTTTCTGTTATTTCTGCAAATCCCCCAGCACATTTGGGGGCATTTTTTTAAAGAACTGTATTGACTCGTTGAGCTATAATGGTCAAAAGTTACTGAAATGAGAGCATCTTCCTTTCTGCTGTTTCCGGTACTACTGAGTTATGTGTGTACGGATGCAATAGTGCAGCATTCACAAGCACCTCAGTTGGTTTTCTTACTCTAACAAACACAACTCATCATCTTAAAGGGTATGATAACTAGTTTTAAATGTCAACTTGCCACAGCTAGAATCTGGAAGGAAAGAAAGAAAGTCTTGATTGAGGAATTATCAGGTTGGTCTTTGGGCATGTCTGTAGGGGAATGTCTTAATGCAGGAGTACCTAGCCTACTGTGGGCAGCACCATCCACTAGGCAGGTGATCCTGAACTGTTTGTATAAAAACACTAGCGGAGGAGAAGCCAGTCTTAGAACTAGCAAGCAGCACCTTTCACAGTTCCAGCTGAATTTCTTTGGCTGTACTGTAAGGCGAGTCCTTGGTTGGAGGTGATGCTATGTAGAAGATTAAGCAGAGCTGCTTTCATGAAGTTCCTTGAGTTTCTGCCTTGACTTCCCACAGTGATGAACTGTGACCTGGAATTTTGAGTCAAATAAATCCTGTCTCCTCCAAAGCAGCTCTTGGTCAGAGTGCTTTATCATAGCAACAGAAATGGAGGTAGAACACTGATGGAAAGGGTTACCTCGGCGTGTGCCTCTGGTACTCTCAGCCCATGGGTAGTTGTCCTCATTGCTTTGAACTGGTAAGGTAACTTGTTCTGGTATACTCTGTTGGGGTCCTCTTGGAACCTCTTTGTCCCTCCTTCACACCAACTTGATTTCTGGGAGCCCACACCAGCAGCTCTCTGCCCAGGATGCACAACCTTGAATGCCTGGAGATGGCTAGCTGTCCATCTTACACAGAGATCGAGAGAGAAGTGCCTGGGCTGACTTCCTACAAGGCCGTCTTCCACGAGTGACTAGGGCCGAGGAGCCTGGAAACCATGAGCTCTCTGTGTCCAGTTGGGGCGTACTTCTTATTGCCTTGCCTGACTTCTCCCCTCATCAGTTTTCTTCCCTCTCCTTAACCTCTCACCAGTTTCTCCTGGCAGTACTTCCTCAAGAAATTGCTTGCTCCTGAGCCCCCAGTGTGGAGTCCACTCTGGGAAATCTTGTTACCGCTGAGATTCAGCCCTTACCCAGGAACCAGCATGGCTGATGCCCTTAGGCCACCTATGACCTCAGGATTTCCTGCCCTAATGATGTCTAAGGTCTATGTTCCCCTGTCTGTCCATCCAAAGGTTGATTTTCATCCTTAGTGCAGTTAATAGTATTTGCTACTCCACCAGTTGAGAGGTTCCCAGAGACCTGATGATCCTCCTTTAGGTCTTTACCTTGCAAAGTCCCTGCCTGTGGCTTTCCCCACCCAAAACTTCAAAGTCTTTTTACTGTCTCACTAAATGTCACATCTATGCTTAACCTCAGCCCCCACCCCCAGTAGGAAGAAACACTCTTCATTCAACAGAACTCAGAGTCATTTGCAAGCAACTGTGATCATAAATAGAAATATCACTTCATAATACAAATATATCTGCCATGAAAAAGTCATTTATAGAGCAGGGCGTGGTGGCGCATGCCTTTAATCCCAGAAATTGGGAGACAGAGGCAGGCAGATCTCTGAGTGAGACCAGCCTGATCTACATAGCAAGTTCCAGGCTATGTGGCGTTATAGAGAGACACTGTCTCAAAAAGACAAAGAAAAAAGACAAAAAAAAAAAACCAAACAAAGTTTATAAACAGTCATATGTACAAGGTATATAATTTTATATATGTAACTTTCTTACAAGTAGAAATATGCTGCAACTAATATTGTCACTTTTCTTTGTTTGTTTGTTTGTTTTGAGACAGGGTCTCCCTATAGCCCCAGCTGGTCTGGAACGTGCTATATAGAGCAGACTGGCCTTAGATCTCATAGAGATCCACCTGTCTCTGCCTCCTGAATGCTGGGATTAAAGTTGTGCACCACCATGCCTGGCTATTTTTCTATTTTAAAATTTTTATTTTTTTATGTGTTTAAGTATTTTGCATGCATATATGTATGTAAATATACTACAAGCTTACAATGACCATAGAGACCAGATGAGGGCATTGGATCCCCTGGAACTGGAGGTATGGACAGTTGTTAGCCACCATGTGGGTGCTGGGAACTGAACTGGAGTCCTCTGCTAGAGCAGCCAGTGCTCTGAACCCCTGAGCTGTCTCTCCAGGACCCCCACTTTTCTATTGATAATATAGCATGCCTCTTTCTTTACTGAGAAGAAAACGTATGTGTCATATTGTTTAAAGGCTACATGGTATCCCAATGTATGACTTTAACCATAGTTTAACCTAAGTACCTGTCAATGAGGAAGGGCAACTGTGGAGTCTGGGCTGCTGCAGATAATGCTTCAGTTTCATTCATGTATCTTTCTTGCTGGGAGGAATTCACAGTGAGGATGAATTCATATAAATGCAATTCCTAAGTCAAAGGGATCATGTTTTTATAGTACTGCCACATGGCCATTCTAAAACATCGTACCATGTATGCTCACAACAAAAGTCATTTT